ATGCAATAGAGCTAATGACATATATGCTGTAGAGCTAATGGTTGGTACAGTAGAGCTAATGACATGAGCACCAGAGCTAATGACATGAGCAGCAGAGCTAATGACATATGCAATTGAGCTAATGGTTGGTACAGTAGAGCTAAGGACATGTAGCAATATCTAGCTAATGGTTGGTATAGTAGAGCTATTGACATGAGCAGCCAAGCTAATGACATGTGTGGTAGAGCTAATGGTTGGTACAGTAGAGCTAATGACATATATGCTGTAGAGCTAATGGTTGGTACAGTAGAGCTAATGACATGAGCAGCAGAGCTAATGACATGAGCAGCAGAGCTAATGACATGTGCAATTGAGCTAATGGTTGGTACAGTAGAGCTAAGGACATGTCACAAAATCTAGCTAATGGTTGGTATAGTAGAGCTATTGACATGAGCAGCCAAGCTAATGACATGTGTGGTAGAGCTAATGGTTGGTATAGTAGAGCTAATGACATATATGCTGTAGAGCTAATGTTTGGTATAGTAGAGCTAATGACATGTCGCAATATCTAACTCATAGTTGGTATAGTAGAGCTAATGACATGTCACAATATCTAACTAATGGTTGGTATAGTAGAGCTATTGACATGAGCAGCTGAGCTAATGACATGTGCGGTGGAGCTAATGGTTGGTACAGTAGAGCTGGTACAGAGTAAATAGAACTAATGAGCTTGTACTGTACAATCCTGTTTTACTGCTTCATAAATTAAACACATAAATGATGATTAATTGACAGATGGTTAGATAGAGGCAAGGAAGATAAGAAAATTGACAGAGAATTAACTCCGTCCAAACCAAGTAAGTCTATTTAGATTATTTATAGATTATTTATTCAAATATTAATAATTCTCAAATATTTCTTTCATATTACAGTAATAATAATACTTACTTGTTTATAATTGTATATCAATTTAGCAATGTAGATAGTAGTTTAGCTATCTAATCTGCAATATTGCTTCGCAGGTTACTTTGTCTGCAGTATTAGTTCAATACCCTGAGAATAGATTTACCTGGTAAGCCTAAAATAGTAGCATTATGTTTATTTGTCCATTTCCACAGTTGGTGAATACACCGTCATATTTACAACGGGTGGTGCATCTTTAGATAGAAACGATGCCTTAGTCTGCTTTGATGTCTATGGTGAGAAAGCACATGCTCAGCCTTTCATTTTTGGTGCTACTAAGAGGGAATATTTCTCACCTGACGCCAAAGACCAGTTTGAGGTAAGATTGTTTTCTGTAATGATATTTCTCATTATACATTGCAGCTGTGACTTGGTGGTATGCTATGCTTTGTTTCTGAAGTTTCTGATTGCCCAGTACCATAGTGGTTGTTGAACCATAGATCATTGATTTGTATGTTGTCACTGGAGCTAAATGCTGTAATATAACTGACCTATAATTTACCGCATTTGTTGTAATTGCATTATCGTATTTCTACATAGCCATTGGCAAAACAATGTCAGGTTGGGGTACCTAAAATCCCACTATATAAAACATTTTTGCTTTTCATCAGCTCTATTGGTGTGTCATCTTTGATTCTCTTCCAGAATTCCCACTCTAAGTAACTCCATTGATTTTTTGACTTGAAAAACATATTATGTAGTTATTTTTGACACTTGAGGGCATACTTCAAGTAGTTATCATCCATCCAGTTCTTCCTGGAAGGGCGTATTGATATTGTATTAACAGAACTGACATATTTTTCTTTTATTTAAATTCAGATTAATGTTGGCGAGATTGGTGACATTTACAAAATACGAGTTAGTCATGATGACCATGATAAATGGGAAGGCTGGTATTTGAAGGAAGTCAGAATGATTGACAGAATGAAAAATGATGAATATGTTTACAAATTTAATAGGTGGCTATCGCGGGATGAAGATGATATGGACATTGTCAGAGAACTGCCAACAGAGAGAAGAGGCAAGAAAACACTACCTGGTCAGTATACATATTATTAGAAACAGCAGCACATTATTACATTTACACTTATTACAAATCTAAATTAGATTAAATTGGATCACAGTTTTACAAACAAAACGGAAAATTATTGACAGCGAATACACTTACTGTTTCAAAATCCATAGTGTTCGCTGATGTAGGTAGTTTCAATAGCTTAGTGTTCCAGAGTGTATTAAGTTATTATGTTATACAGCATATAGTTTTATACCAACTGTGTTTTCAAATGTTTCTGGGTTCTAAGTATGTTGTGACACTGACAACTTACACTTGTCAGTTGAATAAAAAGTTTAATCACTAAATCATCCTGGGATACTGTAGAATACTTTATTTTCACTTGGAATTTATTTTCGCTATTTTCGCTGAAAGAATGATTCCATGAAAATAAAACCCAACAAATATACTGTATTCCACAGTATGTTTATTTTGGCATCACCAAATCTAAGTCGTGAAACTAATAACAATTACCGGTATATATTCAGGAGTAAATTGTATAAACACTATAAACAGATAAAGTTTTATTTTTAATGACTGTTATTTAAAAAAAAGATTTTCTTCTTTCTCTGTCAGTTCTAAAATATTTTGTTGAAGTGTTCACTGGGATTAATCCCAATGCTGCTACCAAAGCTAATGTTTACATGAACATTTATGGTAAGAAGGGAGACTGTGGTAAGCGCATACTTTATAAATCACATAACAATGATGAAAAGTTCCGCAGAGAGCAAAGAGATGTGTTTGAAATTGAAGCAGTTCACCTTATGGATCTGAAAAAGATTATAATAGGGCATGATGGGAAGGCTGGAGGAGAAGGCTGGTTCCTAGATAAAGTAATCATCAAAGAATCAGAAGATGCGGATAGTCAGTGGTACTTTCCATGTAGAAAGTAAGTGTAGCATTTTAGTCCCTGTTCTGATGCTGTCCAAAAACTTATGGATTGACATCTGTGCATGTGTCCATGCATCTGTGTTTGCATCGAGACCTACATGTCTTAGGCATGCCTGCACCACAATTACAATCAAACTTCACACATACGTCATACATAATACTATACATATGCACATCAGTTTGTTTCACGATCTGATTCAAGATGGCAGAATGGATGTTCAAATTTTTTCTACTCTTGCAGTACAGTTATTGCGTAAGCTTTGGCATTTGTGGCATCATTGTCGCTTAAACATGACTTCATTGTGGCCTCAGCATCGCATCATTGTGGCATCAGCTTCACGTCATTGAAAATTGAAGCTGTGTTAGCCTCACTTATTTTATAGCATTATCGTGGCCTCAGCTCCACAGTCTCATGGCATCAACATGGCATCAGCTTCAAAGTATTGTGACATGAGTATGACCTCATTATTTGCACACGGAAAGGCACAACAAAACACACATCGCTTCAGTGTGCTTACATGAGTCTTGATTGAGTAATAAGTTCAAAATTTGTGTTGTGTTGATTCCAGCATTAAGATTTGTCAGAGTGGATCTTAATCGCCCCAGACCCGATCGTTTTGTGAGGGCATGTATACATGTGTCTGATTGTCGATTTCACATCATTAGTACTTGCAGCTGGTAATTTTAAAATAACAAAAATCACTTGGTGTCGAAACCTCAGTGACAACCAGATTTCCAAATACATGTTGTTTAGATGATATGCAAGTAATTTTTCCATGCATGTAAATCAGTCTGTCCTTGGTCCACCATAAGATTACCAATGTCATGTTGAATCACCCCTGCACCAATCTGTAAAACTGGTCTCATGTTATGTATGTTTCCTTCACAGTTCAGTCAGAGGTCAATGACATAGTCGTAACTAATATAAAATCATGTGGTCAGAAACTTACGTTACAGAATTGATACAAGACGTTTCGAATTAGATAATATAATTAACTCTGATATAACTGCCAAGTGAGGACAAGACATATTGTCCATGTCCCGAGTTCATGTGAACTTCAGTAGGATTTTTTTATTTAAATCTCAATATGGTAACAGTGTTGACAAGAGCTAGACACAAGAAAAGAAAAATGAAAAGTTGTCTAGCTGGTTGCCATGATGCTGACTTTTAATGCACTGCCAGCTAATGGTAGCTATGGACTTACGTAACTCACGTCAAAGTAATTCACATTCGTTTTGTTTACCAGTTCTACCTCAGTGTAGTATCCATCCGTTGCCATTACGTTTTAAAAACTTGCCGATCGAATTTTTAGAAACCAACACTTGATATTCCTCTTTCAATCTCTTCCTGATGTCTATCTGCTTGATTACAATGGCCTTCAAGGAAACAATTCATCGTGGAACATAATCAGTCAATCTTGATAGTTGGACAGGGTCATGCATTATTTAGCTTGAACTTTTAGATGAATACAGCTTGCGTGTAAGACAGCAAAAAGTATCTGTGTGAATACATATACGGCTGACTATGATACTTCTCAGCATTGTTTACATATGTAAATTATTTCTTTGTTCAATGAAGCGATGCTGATGCCACATTGTCGCCATAATTAGGCAACAATGAAGCGAAACAATAACCACAATGAAGCAAAGCTGAGGCTGGAGTGAGGCCAAAGCTTTAATATGCGATAACTGTACTGTATGCATCATGTCATATATATACAGATGTATTGGTTTGATGTATTGGGCAACCAGTGGCCATTTTTTTAAATTTATGCTGTTACAGAGCAATATCTCAGATATAAGATGAATATCATTTAATGTTAAAAAATCATCATAATCAAGCATCAGCTTCTTGATCCATATTTAAATGTCTTTAAATTGACTGACATGTTTATGTTCAAAGTATATTCCTATAAAAAAACAAAACTATACATCTTAAATTTGATAACTAACTGGGACAGTGCCATGCATGGCTTGTTTAATATAACTGGGAGCTCTATATGGTGAAATCTCTGAAATGTAATTATAAATTTTATGTTTAGTGTCTGCTTTAGTCAAGTTTTATTGTAGATAATTAACAAATTTAACTTGATATTTCCAAACTATATTACATAAATTATTTTGAATTAATATTTAGAAAGGCCAACATGCTGATCATAAGCATGACTGAATGCTTCTCTGTAATCTATTGTATATAAAAACTGATGAACCACACCACTGGTGGAAGGAGGGGCATTTCAAGACAAATTAAAAAAAAATGTATTTTTTGTCTTCAACTTTTCAGTTATTATTATCAGCTAAGCAACCCTTCAGTCTAACTTTCTTTATCTTTTCATGGTGACAGGTGGCTGGATACATCTAAAGATGATAGAAAAATTGAAAGGGAATTAAAGCCAGGAAAACCAGGTGAGTTGAATCAGTGGTTGTTTGTTATTTCCTTGTCTTTGCCAAGATTATTAGGTTTTAGTGGTAATATTAATTCTATTTATTTCAGATCATGAGTGGGCGGTATGGATTACTACTGCAGATGACTCGTGCCAAAGAAATACAGCTGTAGGCCACATTGTAATGTATGGAGACAAAGGTAAAACTGAAATGATACCACTGGGTGCTGCTAGGTCAGACAAATTGGCACCTGGTCAAAGTGATGAATTTGAGGTGAGAAACTACTAACATTATTCAGTGTGGAAAAAATATCTGATGCTTCTACAAAAAATAATGTTTAGCATTAAGTGTATCACTCTCATACAAATGATTAGTTGTGAACCGGAACATAATATTGCAATCAATTTAAAGACCTTTCTTTCTTTTTTGTAGATACAAACTGGTAAAATTGGTAAACTTTATAAAATTCGGATTGGATATGAGGATGAAGACAAGTGGGATGGTTGGCATGTAAACGAGGCAAGTTACAAATAGTGATTCACAAACATACATATGTTTTATATATTGTATGAACATGTACAATGAAATTACATTTCTGTCAGAGAAAAATGAAAAATAAACATATTTGTTGGGTGTCTTTGGCAAGGGGGGTGTGTGATAACTGACATGTAATTTGTGTGGACCAAACACTGCATTTCATGTTGTGTATTTTAAAACAGTATTTGCATTCATACTTTATTGATATCAATATTTATGTCATGGTCTGTTAAAATTCATTATTCCTGTTAATAAATGTTTAAACATTAACATGTCTTCATGATAGAGCAGTTTTACAATAAAACAGGATTTTTTGTTTTCAGTTAAAGAATACATAAACAATATGTTTTTATTGTTTTAGGTACGAATGATGGAGAGGTCAAGTAAGGAAATATTGACATTTAGCTTTGATAGATGGATGTCAAGATCAGAAGATGACAATGACATTGTAAGAGAACTACCAGCTGTGAGAGATGGGGAGAAAACATTGCCAGGTAAATAGATGGTGTATAGTGGGGTATTGTAGGGTAGTTTTACTGATGCACCAAATCACTCAGCTTTCATGTACATGTATGCATTAATGGTATACTTTTACATTGGTATTAATGTCTGCATAGACAACGTCATAGAAATTATAATATTTTATTGATTTTTTATCAATGTGCTGTGAAGATTGTGAATTTATTGTTGCAGTATTAACATCACACTCAATTCTATGTTAGATTGATATGCATCATCCAAGGCTGCAAATCATACATTGCTGTGCTTTTGTGATGTCAATAACTTGACAGTAATTGTTGTTTATTGCAGTAATTCGTTACTACGTTGAAGTTTACACAGGTGATTTAGACGATGCCTCAACACAGTCCAGTGCTTATATGACATTATATGGGAAGAGAGGAGACACTGGTGTCCGAGCACTTTATAAATCAATGCACAATGAAGATAAGTTTCAGAGGGGCCAGATGGATGCATTTGAAATTGAAGCCGTTCATCTTGGTGATATAAAACACATTATAATTGGCCATGATGGGGTGGAGCCTGGGCAAGGTTGGTATGTAGATCATGTGGTTGTTAAGGAAAGTGAATATGCAGAGCAGCAGTGGTATTTCCCTTGTAAGAGATGGTTTGATGTTAGCAGAGATGATAGAAAGATCGAAAGACAAATAATTCCTGGGGAACGTGGTAAGTATCTAACATAAATAAATTAAGATAGAATGTTACTTAAGAGTATGTGTGCATATTTTATTACATTTAGCAGTTGAAATATTTTGTATAAAAATCTACAATTATTTATTTTTAGTATTAGTACTTTTTTGGTTCATTGTCAATCTTATTTTTGGGCACATTTCCTTGTTAAAAGCCCATTAAAATATTGTCAATCTAGACATAAAAAATAATATTCTATATATTTTTTTTCACTATATGTTATCAAGCAAAATTTTGAGATACTGATTCAGAAAAATATCCTTGCCATAGAAACAAATAATATAATGACCTAAAACTAAATTGATCAATTTTTCTCTCAACTGAGTAAAGTGTAAACAAAATATTTTTGTTTATTAACAATGTCAAACATGTGTTGCAAAGGAATTACAAATTATACTCAGGTGCTGCCCTGTATACTAACTTCTGTTTTTATACTGAGTAATTTAATATTATAGTAAATAAGTTTTTTCATTTCTTCCAGAATATACACCGCCACCAACACCTGAACCAGGTATAATACTTTTTCATTTTATTTTTCATAAAAGAAAATCAGTCAATCGACTTTCCTTGCTTTAGGTATCGATTGGTATCTGTGCATCTTCTTCACTACTGCTATCTAATGACAAGCTAGTGTTCAGGATGCTTCTCCACAAACTGGTTTCATTACTTTGTGTCTTGCAGATGAAGGTTGGAAGTTAGAGCTGACCACAGCTGATGATTCATATCCATCACATGGTGCTGTAGCATACATATCAGTCTATGGAAATAAAAGAAACTCAGATCGAATACCACTTTCTGCATTTGATAGTTTTACTCCAGGCAAAACAGACAAGTTTGATGTAAGTTTTTTGAAAATCATATTGACAGATATATCTGCCATTCGTTTCTCTGATCACATTTTAACATTTGAATAAACAATGAAAAATTCTATGCAACTCAACCTACTACAAATGATACACATGTAGATTAGAGGTGGACACAACAAATGGAGCTTGATTTTAATTCTGCCTTTGTCTTCATTTTTTTTTTTATTTCAGGTGAGCTTTGAGGTCAATCTTGGTGAAATCTACAAAATTAGGATAGAACATGATGATAAAGATAAATGGGAGGGATGGCATTTAAATGAGGTAAATATATATTATCAATCTGTCACTTGAACAGAGAAAGAGATTCAGACTTCCAAGCAATTGAATCTTCCTCCCAAGGAATGTACCAGTTACCAGCTATTTATTTTGAAGTATCTTGTCATAACCAGCTTTTCATAATCAACTGATAGGATCTAGCGAGGTAAACTCAATTTTCTCAGAGAATTTGACATCATGCATGCATGTACATGCTTTTGACTGATTTAACACAAACATTATACCTATTGGGATACATTTGTATTCCTTTCATGCTCTGATTCAACATGAATTCCTGTGGTTCTGGAATCGGATCTCTGTCATGCTTAGACCCAAACTTGGTTATGTACAATGAACGTTATGGGATCTTGATGCAAATCGTTTTTGACTCCCATGTGTGAAGCACAAAAAGGGAGTCTTTGCAGTTAGTGTGTGTGTGTGTCTGCGTGTGTGTGTGTGTGTCTGTGTGTCTGTGCGTGTGTCTGTTCCACTGATATCTCAAGAACCATACATTGATTTTTGATGAAACTTGATTCATAGATGCTCTAGGCCAATGCGCAGATTTGATTAGATTTTGCTAAAAATCCATGCATACTAATTACCTAATTTGCATGATAATTAGCTGATTTTTAGCTGTTCCATGACTGTTCCACTGATATCTAAAGAAGCACTCATTGGATTGTGATGAAAA